TTGGTTTTCTCCCAAAAGAGGATCTATAATCCTCCTGGTGAAGGTGAAGAGCAAACAGAGTGGACACCGATGAGCTGGAGACGGATGATCAAATAGCCAAGGAATACCTTGTTACCTGGAACGAGTTCAAATCTCCAGGGTCGGATGAACTGCATCCAAGAGTATTGAAGAAACTGGCACAAGAGATCACAGAACCCACTGTCTCTTATTTTCTTGAAATCATGGATAATGCATGAAGCGCTGGATGATGGCAGGAGAATGTCCCTACGTTCAAAAAGGGCCAAAAGGAGGAAGCTGGGAGCTACAGACTGGCCAGCCCGACATCAGTCCAAGGGAACATTCTGGAGCAGTTTTTAAAACAGTCACCCTGCAATCACCTAGAAAACAAGGCAGTAATAACTAGAAGCCAACATGGATTTGCCAGACTAATCTTGTCTCATTGTTTGATCAGGGAACCTCTCTGATAGACGGTGGCAATGCTGTAGACATAATATATCTTGCCTTCAGCAAAGCTTTTATTTATTGTATTCTCGAAGGCTTTCACAGCCGGGATCTGATGGTTGTTGTAGGTTTTTCGGGCTCTTTGGCCATGTTCTGAAGGTTTTTCTTCCTAACGTTTTGCCAGTCTCTGTGGCCGGCAACTTCAGAGGACAGGAGTAGGAACTCTGTCTGTGCTCTGGTGCAGTTTTTGGGAGAGTCAACTAATTTATAGTGACCCTAATAGAGCTCTCAAGGTGAGCGAGATATTTAAGGAGTGATTTTACAGGTTCCACATCCCTAGCTGTGTGGGGGATTGGAACCCATGACCTTCTGATGCTAAATATACCCAGCAGGCACCACAAGAAAGGGCGACTGATCACAAAGATACACACACTCCATCTAAGGCAAGCACTTTTTACAGCAAGGTAACACTTACTGCATTTTCCACGGTTGCACCTTTTAGGAACGGGAGTAAAAACCACTCAGAAGGAGGTGGACATTTTCTCTCAGATCACTTTCCCCAAAAAGCCACTCTCCCTTTCACCTGGCACTTCTGTTGAGGGGAAAAATATTCACGATGCTCATGTGCTATGTGAAGATGAACCAAGTGAGGACACAAAATAATTATGGGCTTCGGCTACAAGAAGCCAGATTTAAGCTGAATATCAGGGAAAACTTCCTAACTGTTCGAACAGCCTGACAATGGAAACCATGACCTCGGGAGGCGATGAGCGCGTCAACGCTGGGGGCCTTCAAGAGATAGTTGGACAACCCTCTACAAAATCTGTTTTGATGTGGATTCCTGCCTTGAGCTGGAGGTTGGACTCAATGGCCTTAGAGACCCCTTCCAGCCCCATTATTCTAGGATTCTATGGTTCTGTGAATCTCCATCTACTCTAATTTCATTGAGCTACGCCTAGCCTCTGCCCCTCACTGTTTACTTTGTCCCAGATGCTTCATTCTGAGGAGATACAGAACATAGGACAACCATGCACAGAGGTATGAAGTTAGAATCATGGAATTATAGAGCTGGACGGGATCCCTCAAGGGTCATCTAGCTGAGCCTCATTGCAGTGCCGAAAAACTCACCCACAGCAGCCCCTACAGATAGCCATTCGGCCTTTGTGTGAAAAACCCCAACGCAGAAGAGATTGCTTGGCTCTAAGCTATCTCAAAGACAGTAGATCTCCCTTGATGAGCCTGCTCAGGTGTTAAGAGCATCAGGAGAGGTCTTTCTCTCAGTCCCATCCCCTTCACAGGTGCATTTGGTGGGGACACAGGAGAGGGCCTTCTCTGTGGCTGCTCCTTTAGACTGTGGAACTCCCTCCCACTAGAGGCCAGCCTGGACCTATCTTGGCTCTCCTTCTGCAAGCCGCCAAAGACCTTTCTCTTCGGGCAAGCTTTCTCCCAGTGACTGCCTGCATGAGTGACTGGCTACATGAGTGACTTTAAAATGTTAGGCATTACCGTTCTGACTGGATCTTAAGTACCCCTTGTATTTACCATCTCCCATCATGGTATCCTTGTCAGCATTTACATACTTTTTGTTTTAGCTTTAATATTTGTCCTTTCATGGTGTAAGCTGCCTCTTTTGTATATACTCATTGTTCTTAACTTTAAACATTGTCTTTTAATGAGATACTCATTGTTCTTAACTTTAAAACAATGCAAACTACCCTCGTGTACTCATTGTTTTCAGCTTTCAATATGGTCTTTCAATTATGTAAGCTACCTTGGGTCCTCTTCCGATTAGGGGTCTTGGAAAATATTTTAGATACATAAATAAGCCATATTCTATATCCCTGCTTTGCACAGAGCTTATATTGATCAAAACAACAACTACACTCCCGTTCACCTTTGATGTTCACTCAGCTGAAGGTACCTGGCAGATTTTCTGCAGGAATTTAAAAAAAAAACAAGGAAGTTTTCTTCCATTCAAGCAACTAGAATGCAAGACAGATAGTCACATTTATGCAAAGGGGCTCAGAAAGAAGCATTTTCTAAAGAATCAGAGTGACCCAACAAATGACAAGGTGGGGAGATGCAGAGGTTTTAATAAAGATGTGCGGGTTTGTTTGAAACAGCCAGAAATTGGGAGTTTGAATCCCTCCCTCTCCCTCCTTGTCTGGGGCCGGACTCGAAGATCCATAGGGTCCCATCCAGAACTCTCCCTCCTTGACTGGGGCCGGCCTCGAAGATCCATAGGGTCCCATCCAGAACTCTGAAGTTCTTAGGTTATTATTCTGTATTCAAGCCCTGAAAACCACACTCGAGTTGGCGAGCGGTTTTCCGACGCGGCTTCTGTCTGGCGCATGACAGCGCGCGCTGCCTTGTTTCACCGCATGCATCTCCGAAGCTTGCTTGCTCCAACTTTCTTAGGAAAGTCCCACTAAGTAGACCTCCTCCTGAAGCTGAAAATGCCAATGACTTTCCAGATGCAAAAGTATGGACAGTTGAACGGTGCCATCTTCTGGTTAAACACAACACAGCAGGAGATTTAAACTCCTGGGGTCCAAGAAAGGAATCCTTAAGCCGCCAGCTACACTTCTGGGTGTTCAAGGGTGGCCCCCATTTTGTCCTGCTTCCTCCTTTAGTCAAGAAGGATGCAGTTTTAATTCTCTTTTTCATAATTTTTCTACTTACTGTTTCTAGCTATTAGCACCCTGTAAGCACCCTTTGTGCCCTTTTAAGGAGAAAGTAGGAGTTTAAAAATATTTTAAACAAATACTTGGAACTTGAGAAACAGTTATTTTCCGGGAAATCCCACTTTGCTAATGCGGCTTCTTGAGTTTTAATTCTCTTTTTAATTATTTTTCTACTTACTGTTTCTAGCTATTCAATATTGGCTTTTTCATGGTGTAAGCACCCTTTCTGCCCTTTTAAGGAGAAAGGAGGAGTAAAAATATTTTAAACAAACAAATAAAATAAACTTGGGAAACAGTTATTTTCCAGGAAATCCCACTTTGCTAATGCGGCTTCTTTTCTAGCCCAGTGCGAGAGAAGGAACCGTCGCAGCCTCTAGAAAGCTACAGATCCAGAGGTTCGAGAAGTAGAAATGAAAAAAAAAGTTTACTCTTTTTGGACTACATGTCCCAGAATCCCCTGGTCACCATGGCTGCTGATCACAATGGCTAAGGGATTCTGGGAGTTTTAATCCATGTCTGACTCCAGAAAAACTAAATGCTCCAAAAGTGTGAATTATGCAGAGTGACTTGCAGAATCCATTTTAGGGATGTGCGTTTTTTGGGTTTTTGAACTACAGATCCCATCATTCTCTCCCTTCAGGGATTTCTACCGGCAGCATCCAGGCCTTACAGACACCTGAATTGTGCTCACCTAGAAAGAAGGGCGAATTGGCAGGCTTCCTGCCTTGGAAAGGCCTAACATCCTGTTTGAAGAGGAAGCTGCCCCTACGGTTGCTGGGAAGCTTCCTTTTCAAACAGGAAGTTAGGCCTATCCAGGTGCCTCACTTCTCCAGGTGAGCACAATGTAAGTGTCTGTAAAGTCTGGCTGGGCCAATGAGACTTCCTGAAAGGAGAATTATGGGCTTTGTAGTCCAGGAAAAAATGCAAAATGCACATCCCTCATCTTTCTGATTAGTGCTAGGACATTTTAATTAAAGGGGAATGTTGACATTATCCACCACCCTATCAAGGCTCCCTGTTTTGTCTGAGCTTAGAATAAATTCAGAGCTTAAAAGGAAATGCATATTCCTTGCTTTATAACATTTTCCCTTCAATTAATGTGAATCCTTCAACCCTATGAACCCGAGAAATCAGACACGCTGAAGGCCAATTAGGAAACAAACACAACCTAATAGGCAAAAATCATAGAGAGCATAACTTACTCATGTTAGAGGTACGTGGCCTGCTCATTGACAGATCCCCAAATGATAGATTAATTCTGGTATTAAAAATGGCTCAGAAGTCCCTTTGTGCCATTTCAAGGAACACGGAGGGCATTTTTGCCATGTTTTAAGGACCCCCTAGCACTCCTTCTGCCCCTCTGTTGTATAAAAAAAATTGGCCACAAGAGAATATAAAAACCTCCTTTTTAGCTACCCCCCCCCCAATTTTCTAAGAAAAATTAGGGGACAAGTTTGCATAGCACAGGTTCGCAGCCCTCCAAAGTCCAAAAATGGCCAATTTGTCCCTCTGGAGCCTGGCGTTAAAAGTCAGCAGACAGTCTTTTACCTCTTAAGGGAGCTCATGTTCTAACGATGTGATAACTGTACCATCTTAATCATCTTCCCCATCCCTGTGCATTATTATGAGGACTGCCATTAAGGAGGTTGTTGCCTTAGGTGCAGTCCTTAAAATATAAGGGGGTCCTACTAAAATATCTCATGCATCTCAGAAATGCTACTAGGATCGCCATAACTCGAATGCAACCTTTAAAAAACCCCACCAAGTAGTCCCTTGTTTCGCATAAAACACTCTCTTGTGAGACTGACAGAGAGAAAAAACCAATGAGCTAGCTACAAGGGAGGTTAAACCTGCCATCCCAATGTCTGCGCTCACCGTGACGGGGAAGTAGTCCCTCATGTATCTCCAGATAACACTATTCCGGATCCACTTGATTTTCCGGCCACCTTTGTTCGGTGTGTCCCAGTCGTAGACCCACCACGCACTGTACAGCACGCTAAGGATCCAGAAGCGGGTGAAGAGGAGGCCAACGAAGACGGCGATGCAGCAGAGCCCTGTGAAAAGAGACACAGCCGGTCAGGAGAGAGCAGGTCCTCGAAGGTCTCTCTCTGAGGGCTTAACTGTGTGGGTGGACATCGGCCGCAGGTCAGGGCAGGGCAGGCGGTAAGCAAAACGGTGGCGCTCGAACCCATGACAGGCAGAGCACGTGGACCCATGGTAGGGCCAAACCATCCAGGTTGTGTACCACTATGCAATTATGGGAACAACCAGTATTGCCCTTGTCTACTAGCTCAAGAAGTACGTATCAAGAAATGAGAGGCAGGTTGTTTGTATGGTTTGTTGTTGTTTAGTTGTTAAGTTGTGTCTGACTCTTCGTGACCCCAGGGACCAGAGCACGCCAGGCCCTCCTGTCTTCCACTGCCTCCCGGAGTTGGGTCAAATTCATGTTGGTTGCTTCGATGACCCTGTCCAGCCATCTCATCCTCGGTCGTCCCCCTTCTCCTCTTGCCCTCACACTTTCCCAAGATCAGGGTCTTTTCCAGGGAGTCTTCTCTTCTCATCAGATGGCCAAAGTCTTGGAGCCTCCGCTTCAGGATCTGTCCGTCCAGTGAACACTCAGAGTTGATTTCCTTCAGAACGAATAGGTTTGTTCTCCTTACAGTCCAGGGGACTCTCAAGAGTCTCCTCCAGCACCACAATTCAAAAGCATCAATTCTTCGGTGGTCAGCTTTTTTTATGGTCCAGCTCTCACTTCCATACATCGCTACTGGAAAAACCATAGCTTTGACTATGCGGACCGTTGTTGGCAAGGTGAGGTCTCTGCTTTTTAAGATGCTGTCTAGGTTTGTCATTGCTTTCCTCCCAAGAAGCAGGCGTCTTTTAATTTCGTGGCTGCTGTCACCACCTGCAGTGATCATGGAGCCCAAGAAAGTAAATTGTTAATGGCTCCCAATTGTTAATTTAAGCAACCCAGTATGGTGCAGTGGATAAAGTGATAAATCAGGACTCAGAAGACCTGGGTTCAAAGTCCCACTTTGCTGTGGAATCTCTCACTGGCGGTATAGAACAGGTAAAGCCACACCTTAAACATCTCAATTCCTTTGAAAGCCCCATGAGGGTTGTGATAAGGCAGTTCTGAGTGGATGGCACAGAACAACAATGGCTCATTCATGATTAACACCCACCTACCCACCACCACCACCACCATTCCTTATAATGTTAAGGAATGGCATTTGTGGTGGGTGAGTGGGTGTTAATCATGAATGAGCCAACTGATGGAGTAATTTCAACCTTGATTGCTGCCTCTTGTCATGTGGCTGGGAAGGACCCTTCTGGGCTGAGTGACAGTCCATCGAACCAACAGTAACCAAGTATTCCTTCCCTGCCTCCAAGTTCAAGGAGAGCCATGCCTCTCTGCTTAAGTATATTTTTCCTTTCCTTCTGCTTTGTATGGCAGTTTGCACTTATGCAGCTAGCAAGGAGAACGTAGTCTGCAGCAATCTGCTGGAAGCAGTCAGTGGTGAGTCTGTTGAAGCCTGTGGCTCAGGCAGTAATGCTTGCATGATAGGCTGTTTCTCAATCTGGGAGTCTGTTGAAGCCTGTGGCTCGGGCAGTAACGCTTGCATGATAGGCTGTTTCTCAATCTGGTCAAATGTGAGTCAATGAAACCCTTTTTATTCTTTTTCTTACCAAGGTCTCAGAGTCAGTTACTGAGACGGCAGGTGATGGTGGATGAGATGAAAAAGGGTTCATCTACTCTGGGGAGGCTTGAAGCTAATTCTGCTTTGTAAGTCGAAGCCTGTGGCTCGGGCAGTAACGCTTGCATGATAGGCTGTTTCTCAATCTGGTCAAATGTGAGTCAATGAAACCCTTTTTATTCTTTTTCTTACCAAGGTCTCAGAGTCAGTTACTGAGACGGCAGGTGATGGTGGATGAGATGAAAAAGGGTTCATCTACTCTGGGGAGGCTTGAAGCTAATTCTGCTTTGTAAGTCTCTGCACTTCTGCTGTGCAGCTAGAGGATTTTAAGCAAAATTCAAAACTCTGCCACGAAAACAGGGGTCGGTTGCAATGATGCTACATTCCTGGGAAAATCCGTGTCTCTCCCAGCGACTTTGAGGATGGCAACCAGAGCCAAAGGGAAGAGTGAATCCAGAGGTGGGTGAATGAAGGTTGTCGTAGCCCCTGCTACTCATAAAGTCTGAGGACTTTGACTCCGTGAGCCCTCGTTCCACTATACCGCTGGTAACATGGCACAAACACTGCCATACACATCCTTTGCATCTAGCTGAACTAAAGAATCAGCGAGCCTTGCTTTAAGCAGACACCTTATCACAGCTTATGAGCTCCCTGGTCTGGGACTGTTTTGCAAACTCAGAGGCTAGAAACCCTGCTGATGTACATGCTATGTAGAGTGTTTGCTATTCAAATAGCATTTGCTCTAATCTGTGGTTTTCAGCATCGGGGGGGGGGCTTGAAACTGATCCCCCCCCATGGATACAGGGGTTCCTACTGTAACTTTCCAGCCAATTCTGGAAGCAATAATGTCATTGTACTATCGTCTCTCATTGGAAAATTACGTTTTGCCCATGGCTGACAGCTGAACATATTTATGTTGCAATCTGTATATATGCCTGGAGATGGTGTTTGTGGGTCCTGTAATTTAGTACTCCGGTTTTATTGTACCTTGGTGTACCGGATCCTTTATTTTATGTCTTTCTTCCTCCAGACTTTGTGAATTTTAGCCACAAGAAGAATGTTTATCTTCATGATGGCAGCCTGCCAGATTCTGAGTTGCAAGCCCTTGGAGTCACAGGAGCTGCAAAAACAATATAGGTTCCTATTTTTTTAAAAAAAATGATTGGGGCATCAGCAGATTCCTGTGACTTGCAGGCTGTGGAAAAGGAAACGTTTGTCGTTTGAAGGGAAAGGGGACAAAATGAAAGAATGATAAATATAGGAAGACAGGAGACACATGCATCAGCATTCAACATGCATCGTAGCATCGCAGGAACACATCATACCACACACACCGGATACCAACAACAATTGTGTGATAGCAGCAAGGAAGGGAGGGAGGGAGGAAGGAAGGAAGGAAGCAAGGAAGGAACCCAGGAAACAGGTGTATTTTAATTGCGTGGCTGCTATTGCCATCTGCAGTGATCATGGAGCCCAGGAAAGTAAAATCTGTCACTGCCTCCATATCTTCCCCTTCTATTTGCCAGGATGGGACAAGTGGCCATGATCTTAGTTTTTTTTTAATTTTGATGTTGAGCTTCAGACCAAAAAAAAAAGAGAGAAAAAAGGAAGGAAGGAAGGAAGGAAGGAAGGAAGCAAGGAAGGAGGGAGGGAGGGAGGGAATGAAGGAAGAAAGGAAGACTCCCTCTGGCTCTGATTTTCCACATGACCTTCTTCGCTGGGGTTTACCCAGACTTTCTGTCCATTTGCTTGGATTTTATTCATGCTCATTTCCAGAATCAGCTGACCCAGAAACATATTTGCCCCCTCCCAACCACTATCCCCCCCCCGCACGCAAGCTCTTGCTCCCCATCTCTCTGGGACATCCAAAGGACCTGCCTTCTTCAAACTATTATGGTCTGCCTCTCTTATCTTAGCTTTGGGCCCTCTAAGCTCAGGTAGCTGGACCCTGCTGATGTAGGAAGCGTCACTGCGATGGAGGTGGTGCCGGCGCACCTCAGGCAGGGACGGTGGGCATTCCTGCATCACCTCAGAGGAAACCCGGACCCTCTCCTGTCACCCTAGGTGTGAAATGCCAGCCATTCTGAGATGATATGTTAAGCAGCAAATGTCAGCCCTCTGAAAGTTTTCGCGTTTTATGACTGCCCAGAACCCAAAGTTCACCTTCTAAGCAGATATCACGACCTTGCTGACAGGCAGGCTTACTGATGATTAATCAAGATCCATTAGTGCTCACTCCAGGCCCTCTGATGCCTCTCGTCATGATTAGGCAACCATAAGGAATAATAATATTCAACCCTTTGAGCAGAATCAGCCAAAAGTGTGGCCTGAGGTTCTCAAAATGCCAAAGACCAAACAGGCGGATGTTGGTCAAAGATGCCGTGCATCATGGACTTCATACTCTATGCACAGTGCATTCCATTCTAGGTCACACTGCATCATGGATTTTGTAGTCATACGCCGGCAGAAGGCCATGTGTCTCCATGTTGCTCCAGAGCACTCCTTCCAGCCCTGGAGGTCTGACCCAAATCATATGCTAGCCTTTTGCAAGGTTTGCATGGAGTACTTTGCATGGAGATCTAAAATCTCACGTGGCCCCAGCAGCCCTCAAGAGGACCTTCTTTTGGGTTGTGCAAGCCATGTCAGCGGCATCGCCGGTTTCCAGAGAGGGGCAGCCGCACACAAGCGCTCTTTCTTCTTTGAACAAAAGACACGTCCAGCGTTCTTTTTTCGTTCTTTTTTTGCACAAGCGGCGGTCCCTCTCAGGAGCAGGCTGCTCGGGAACACAAGGAGGACCCACAAAGAGGTTTTTTGACGTCAGAGCCGGCTGAGCCCAGATCCTGAGGTTGGGGCTGCCTGCCAGGATGTCTAGGGCTTGTCTGTGTGTGTGTGTGGGGGGACGGGATGGCTCTTTGTCTGGGTGGCCGAGGCCTGGGCTTCGATAGCCCTAGCAACAGGCGGGAGCAGCTGCCACCAAGCCCGTGGCATCTGCTGATGGGCGAAAGGGCCGGCCCGGGGCGGCTCTGCTCTCAGAACAAGGCTGACTGGCTGGATCCCCGAAGAGACGGAGGAAAGAGCAAGGTTGTTGTGGGTTTGTTCTTCCTAACGTTTCGCCAGTCTCTGTGGCCGGCATCTTCGGAGGACAGCACTCTGTGCTCTGGTGTAGTTGGCTTGGGAGTGCAGAAAGAGCAAGGCTTGGTTTTCCACTCAGGGTGACCAGATATAAAAAGAGATGGACCTTTAATGGAACCGAATGGTTGCTTCGTGTACTTACGGGTGTGAAAGGTGGACAGCTAAGAAAGACAACAAAGGCAGAAATGTGATTTATTTGAAAGGTGGTGCTGGAGGAGAGTTTTGCAGATACCCAGGACGGCCGGAAGAGGGTCTTAGATGAAGCCAAGCCTGAACTATCTGTGGACGCAAGAAGGTGGAAACCTTTTGCTACTTTGGGCACATTCTGAACAGGCAGGATACTCTGGAGAAGACCATCATGCTGGGAAAGGTGGAAAGGCAGCAGGAAAAGAGGAAGAGCCAATGTGCGATGGACTGACTCCCTAAAGAACCTCAGGTTTCGGTCTGCAAGAGCTGAGCAGGGCAGCTGAAGACAGAATGTTTTAGAGATCATGCGACGGCACATAGCTACAACGGTGGACGCAAGTACAGGAAAGAGGTTGGGGGAAAAGCAACTTTTCCAAGTGCCTGGTGCTATCCTAATAGGATTCTGGCCCTTTTTTCACAATTTGCATGTCTGGATATACTGTAGGCGTGTGTATTAGCTAAAGATGGAAATAGTCTTGAGATTTTTTGTTGTTGTTGTTCTGGATGAGAAAAGCCGTCTTGACAAGCTGAGGCAACCTGTTGCAAAATTGCCAGGAGAATCATCTCCTCATCTATGAACGATGCAAGGAATGGATTTTTTTAAAAATATATTTAGTCGAAGTTTTGTGCCAAACACCTCTGTGCAAAAATGCTGTGTTTTCCCAAAGCCCGCATGGGCACAGAAGATACAGGAGGATTGCTTGATGGTTTTTTTTTAAAAGGTGCAGAAAACCTGACCCATCTCTCTGATTTTCAGAAGTCCATGAACTGAGGCAGCCAATAGTACAGTTTTTTTTTTAAACAACAAAGAGTTATTTTTCAGTTTGGGGAAAAAACAAATCTCCCAAATGAAAAAAAAATGTGGACAAGAATAGCTGGAAACCTCTTGCCACCTAGCAGGTGAGAATAAATATTATGCAATGTCTTGATACTCTGTTTGAGAAAGCATTTACACCCTTCGTAGGCAGATTTTATTTTTTTAAAAAATAAGCACACATAAACCTCCACCTCTTTTCAGATTGAGCGTATGTCCCCATTTTACACAGAATTCTAGAACAAAGGGCTTGGAAGGGGCCTCTTAAGGCCATCAAGTCTAACCCCCTGCTCAGTGCAGGAATCCAACTCAGATCAGACAAAGGGCAGTCCAGTTTTCTCTTGAAGGCCTCCAGGGTTGGAGCGCTCACCCCACCTCCTGAGGCCCACTGTTGCGTGTCCTGCACTCTGGGAGAACTGAGAACAGATCCTGCCCTTCCTCTGCAGGAAAGCCATTCAAGTATTTGAAGAGTGCTTTCCTATCTCCCAGAGTCTTCTTTTCTCCAGGTTAAACATGCTTCGTTCTTTCAGTCCTTCTTCAATGGGTATGGCCTCCACTCCCCTGATCATCCCGTTGCCCACTTCCAACTTTGCTCTGAAAATTGGAGAGGCACCTCGAGAAGGAGTGCCATCTACTCCTGCTTGTTAGCCATGATGCCTAGGCATTGTCTAGAATCCCCTGGATATGGGAGTTGCACCAAAACCAATCAGCAAGATGGGATGTTGGGTGACTTTCCAGAAGCATCTGGCTGACCAGTTGGAATGCTTAGACGGACTTGCGGTCATTGACCTTCCCAGTCATGGTTGACGCCGAACTCAGACTTGGTTGGAGAAAATTTCAGCAGCAGCTCAGGTGTTCTCAAGGACAACAGTGGTCTCCAGATGTTTTGGGACTTCATCCTCCACCTCCTCCTACTGAAAGATTCTCAGAATTGTAACCTAACATCTTGAGGACCCCAAGCTAAGAACCCTTGCACCAGGGTGGATAGATTCAAGATGAGACGCCTTGTCTACACTTGGATGGTTGGATAGAATTTCAGTACACTGTTTGCCGTAGAAGACATTCCTTCTTCGAATTCATTATGAAGGACCCCCAAACCACGTTCTGTTTTCTCTTTGGCTACCCTAGTGAGCTCCCGAATGTTAACATGAACATTCTTGCCCTCCAGTTGATCCTTAACAGCACTGAGGGTCAGGTAGATTGCTATGAAAGGTGATCAGATTCAAAATAATCGACAATAATGGAGTAATTAAGAGATTAAGGCCAGTGGAAGCCGGCCAAAGAACAAGAGGATTGTTCTGCTGACGGAGGTGCCTGAGCAGAGGTCCCTGTACAAGGTGAGCGTCCAAAGGGCAGGGTGCTCCATGCAGAGACGAAACTGCAAACAGGTGTTTGAACTGATAAGTCACTAATGAAAAGTTAGACACTCATCTGTCTGATCTCCTTTGATTCGGATTTCTGCTTTGAGCAGGGGGTTGCACTCCGTGGTCTAACAGGCCCTCTTCCATCTCCTATGAGAAGAAGGATGGATAAACAAGAAAGAGCCAGCAAAAATCGGAATAAAATGGTTGCAAAAGGTGTGATCTGCAAATGAGAATAAAGCAACTTCAGGTAGGGAACCTTGAAGCTGCAAGATCTATTTTAAAAAGGAGGAGGGCAGCTCTTATTTGGAGAGACGCTTACAGAAACATCAAGATGCGCCTGTTTCCTCCACCTCCCCTTGCTTGGCCCAGCCAAAAGTAGCACCGGATGTATGTCCATGTGCGTACCCGAATGGGCGTATCGGTGAGATTTACACAGTACTCAAAATTAAGCTAGATAACATTAGAAATCTGGTTGCTCACTGCAGCATTCTTTTTCAGATGTACTAATAATATTGATCACATCCACCAAGCCATTTCTGACTTTCAGGGTTTTCTAGATAGAGGGTACTGAGAAGCCGTTCACCGTTCCCTTCTTCTAGAAGTGCCCTGGGACCATTTTGCAGCTGGCCCAAGGCTACCCAGGCTGGCTCTTTTCTCTGGAGAGGCAGGGTGGGGGAATCGAACTCCCAACCTCTGGCTCCACCGCCACATCCCTAAACCACTGAGCTCTCCATCCAGCTTTCTTGAAGGTACCACCCCATAAGCCGCAGTAAAGAACTGTAAGGAATTTGTACCGAAACGGTTTCCACGGGAGCCTTTTAAAGTAAGGCTTTCTTGTCTCCCCCCCACTCCTTCCTCCTCTCCATCCTTTCGAAGAGGTGGGGCAGTGCCTAAAATAAATGCTCAGTGCCTTGGAAGGAATGGCCAGATCATCATCATCACTTTACCTAAGCCCATGAAACTGAAGACCCACTGGACCACGCTGGCGGTCTGCAGCCGTCTCTCCAGAGGGATCGAGCGGGGAGCAAATTCGATCTTCATGGTGAGGCTCGGCGCTGGGCGTGTGGCTGACGACCAGAAGGTGAATGAGAACTCCTCGAGGGGAGAAAACCTGAGGGTGCAAAGTCTCTGAACGGCTGCTGTTCACTTGGCGTTAAGGAGGGGCCTTTCAGAAACTTCATCCACCCACAGAAGGAAACGCCCACCCCATTTTATCAGGAACGAAGAGATCGTGTGTGTACAGACCAGGCACAGCTTGGCACCGTTCCTTCTGGGGCCTGTGGCTCCCAAATGGCCACGCTGACTGGGAGATTCTGGGAGGTGTTGTCCAAAAAAAAGAATAACTTTCCCAGGTTCTAACATCGCCGGATGTCACTGGGAAGGAGGTTACGCGCATTGCACATAACTGAGAACCACCCAGCAGAGGCTGTGCAGTTCCTTGCATAAACTAGAGCAGGGATGATAAACATCCGGACCTCCAGATTGTCTTGGACTACATTTCCCATCGCCCCCACCCAGCAGGACCAACACAAATGGGTCAAAATTTTTGCACAACGAGATGAAGCTGTCTAATAATTAGAGCTTGAGAAAAGCTGAGCAAGAGATTCTGGGAGTTTTCGAAAGGAACTTTTCAAGCTCAAGATGCCCGTTGGGTGCAATGAGAAGCTGCGGGTCTTCCAGGGGTGTGATCTGTGGGCCAAAACACACATTGCAGCGAGCGCATTACTAGAAGACAGAATTCCTTAAGGGCTGGGAATGCCTGATTGTCACAGCAGGAGTTGTACATCAACCCTCATATAAGTCTACAAATCATCTTGCTTTACTTTCTGATTGGTCATCGGGAGCTGAGCGCAGGCTTCCTTTACAAGCACGGTGGATCGGACCCGAAGACCTGTTGGAATCACATCTCTCGAACAACAACAGATGGCAGCTTCTAAAGCTGGGCTCCCCGTAACATGTAATTTGACCCCTGGATCCATTTGTGTTCCTTTGGTTTTTGTGTGTGTGTGTGTGTGTGTTTTGGACAACAACTTCCAGAATCCCCTAGCCAATATGGCCACTGCTAGCTAGAGCCTTCTCAGGACTGTAGGAATTTCAGAAGGCTCTAGCTCTGGTTTGACGGAGCTTCACTGATCGACAAGGGAGCAGTTTATAGGTTCAAAGACGCTTCTCATCTGTTAAATGACTAGATGGAACACAGAGGAACCTCTGCACATGTCTACATTATGGCCAGGACAGAGAGGCTAACACAAACCACTCAGCAACGCTACCTAGACTTTCCTGGGGTGGGTAAGCTCCAAGAGGTTAATGGGCTGGTAACTTTGGAAAATCTCCCTGTCCTGCCCCCCGTTCAGCACTCTGAGCAACTCTGATGTCTCGGGGAGTTGCCAAAATATATGACCTCAGAAATACCTTCTCACACTGGTAAGACAAAACTGGGCAAGCTTTCCATTTTTCAGGCAACGTCCACCTCTCTTTTCTGGCCCGCCCATCCACCAGCCAACAGGCCTAAGTTTCAAAGGCAACTGAAACCATCATCCCCTTGTGTTGACAGTTTTTGACGATGCACAAAAAAAAAAAAGAGTGGGGGTTTTTTGGATGAAACCTTCCAGAATACTCCAGCCAGAATGGCCAGTTACAATACTGGCTGGAACACTAGGAGTGCTGCTTATATACATCTCCACGGTGCTTAAAGCACTCTCTGGGTGGATGAGCATTTAATTTGGCAGGCTACACATTGCCGCCCCCACCCCCCACCCCTGTAAGCTGGGCGCTCAATTTACCAACTTCGGAAGGCAGAAGACAGAGTCAGCTTTGATACACCTACCAGAGCCCTGTCAGGATCAAACTCAGGTGAGTGAGCAGAGTCTTGACTGCAGTACTGCAATTTAACTACTGCATATTAAAATGCTGCATTAAAATAGTATTAAAATGCTGCACTAAAAGGCCAAGGAGAACTGCCAGGACCTATTTGGACATTACAATTTTGGAGGAATTTTCAAAAGGGTAACTGTGTGACTTTGCTGGAGCAAAAGATCTATCTATCTATCTATCTATCTATCTATCTATCTATCTCTCTATCTATCTATCTATCTATCTATCTATCTATCTATCTATCTATCTATCTACCTACCTACCTACCTACCTACCTACCTACCTACCTACCTACCTACCTACCTACCTACCTACCTACCCAGCTAGCTAGTTAGCTACCTACCTACCTAAACCCATCCACCCACCTACCTACCTATCTATATGCTGCCTTTCTCCCCATAGAGGATGCAAGACAGCTGACAACAGCTAAACTATGTAATGATCAACAATTTTAGAAATACCATAGAAACCATATTTAAAAACAATTAAACATTTGTCAGTATTACAACTAAGATTAAAAATGTTTTTAAGAACATGTTTAAAATCTCTAAATGTGGAGTTCCCAAGACTCACACGGAGGATAAGAGGGATGAAGGGGGGGCCAACCTGGCTTCTCGGGGCAGCGCATTCCCAAGGCTTGGGAGCCACCCCTGAGAAGGCCCTCTCTCGGGTCCTCATCAAATGAGCTTGGGAAGATCGTGGAGCCTAGACAAGGAGCCTTGTGTGGCTTTTTTCTTGCTAATAACTTGGCGACAGCATGAACTTCTCTGGATTAAAATCCACTTCCACGGACCCATGGATTTTACAGTTTAATCTGAGATTATCCTCCATGCGTCTGGGGAAAAGGATCGTAATCTGGAAAAATCGTGCCCTAAGAAAGCTTAGTTTTTAAGGTGCGGCAAGACTCCTCGTTGTTTCCAGAGGGGCAGCCGTGTCAGTCTGTTGCAGCAAAATAAAAGCAAAACAATTTTGTTTTTAAAGTGCTGTACTGGATACTGAATTCACATGTGCAGGTGACTGACAAGCATTAGTAATGAGAAGGTATGCATTCTAGGAAAAAGGCTGAGAAGCGACTCAAGGAACTGGGCATGTTTAGCCTTGAGAAAAGAAGACGGAGGGGTGATAGGATAGCACTTTTCAAATACTTGAATGGTAGCCATACAGAGGAGGAGGAGCAGGATCTGTTCTAGATCTTCCCAGAGTGCGGGACACGTAATCATGGGCTCAAGCTACAGGAAGCCAGATTTCTGCTGAATGACAGGGAAAAAATTCCTAACTGTTAGAGCAGTACGACAACTGAACCTCAGGAGGCGGTGAGCACTCCAACACTGGAGGCCTTCAAGAGAAAAATTGGACCACTATCTGTCTGATCTGCTTGGATTTGGATTCCTGCCTTGAGCAAGAGGTTGGACTGGATGGCCTTATAGACCCCTTCTGACATTATTCTATGATTTTGTAATCATAATATTAATTTCTGATTCCAGAAGTGTACTTACAAGAGAAGGGCGCAGCACATCGTGGGGAACTTAGCACTGAAATCTATTCAAACGGCCATAGCCTCCTGTGATCTCTCAATAAACGAAGGACACAGTTCTAAGCATTCTTGCTTGGAGGTAAAATCCATTGGGTTTAATAGGATTTAGGTAAAGGTAAAGGTTCCCCTTGACAATTTTTGTCCAGTCGTGTGCGATTCTAGGGGGCGGTGCTCATCCCCGTTTCCAGGCCATAGAGCCAGCATTTTGTCCGAAGACATTCTTCCGTAGTCACATGGCCAGTGCAACTTAGACACGGAACGCTGTTACCTTCCCACCAAAGTGGTCCCTATTTATCTATTTGCATTTCCATGCTTTCGAACCGCTAGGTTGGCGGGAGCTGGGACAAGCGACAGGCGCTCACTCTGTCGCGCGGATTCGATCTTACGACTGCTTGGTCTTCTGACCCTGCAGCACAGGCTTCTGCGGTTTAGCCTGCAGCGCCACCACATCCCTCTTGTGAGTAAATTCACTTACAACAAGAAGAGATTGGGACTTTGCAGGCTTCACAAACACAGAACCCTACCAGCTAGTCTGTTCACAAGGCATCTGTTCTTACCCAACAATACCCCCCCAGAGATCCACAAGGTTTCTATTTTCTGTTAATACAGAAGAAGCAAGTACCAACAGACCTTTTGTTAATCAGCGTACATAAGAGTGTCTTGTATTCGCAGGCAGGGCGAGGCTAACAAGACTTCCTCGAGGCTTGTTCTCCAGCATACAAGGCTCTGTCGTGCTGAATCTCAAACTCTTGTCAAACAATCATAGAATTGTAAAGCTGGAAGGAAACCAGGGATCATTTCTCTCCCAACTCCTGTAAACCTGAGAACATTACAGAAGAAATCTCTAATGAAGTAAAAAGACAGAGCTGTGTTGAACATTCTCCCTGGGCCCACACAGAATGCCCTGCTTTCAGGCGCCTCTTCTAGAATCCTAGAATCATGGAGTTGGAAGGGTCCCCTAAGGCCATCCAGTCCAACCCCCTGCTCAAGGCAGGAATACAAATCCAGACAGATCCGACAGAGGGTGGTCCAATTTTCTCTGGAATGTCTCCAGAGCTAATTTACCACCTCCAGAGGTCAATTTCTTCATGGTCAACGTTAAAGTTGTGTGGATCTTCTGTAATCATGATTTTCGTCTTCTTCACATCCAACTGCGGTCCTGCTTTGGCACCTTCTTCTTTCTTTTCCCCTAAAAGTCATTTCATGTCCTTGCTACTTTCTGCTAGTAAGATGGGATCGTCTGCATATCATAAATTATTGATGTCTCTTCCACCCATTTCCCCTTCTCCTTCATTTGGATCTAGTCCACCTTTTGCTCTGTGTACAGACTGAACAAATAAGGGGATAAAATGCACACTTGCCTGAACCCTTTGCCTATAGAAAACCATTCTGCCTCTCTGTATTCTCTCCCAAAGGTAGCTCCTAGTGCACAAGACAAATCTGGACCGCTGTGGCTGCCAGTCAGAGCTGGCCATACAAGCCCAAATGGACTAAGGCTGTTGTTGTTTAATCGTTAAATTGTGTCAGACTCTTCATATCCCTCATGGACCAGAGCACGGCAGGCCCTCCTGTCTTCCACTGCCTCCCAGAGATGGGTCAAATTCATGTTGGTCGCTTCGATGACACTATCCATCCACCTCGTCCTCTGTCGTCCCCTTCTCCTCTTGCCCTCACACTTTCCCAACATCAGGGTCTTTTCCAGGGAGTCTTCTCTTCTCATGAGGCGGCCAAAGTACTGGAGCCTCAGCTTCAGGATCTGTCCTTCCACTCAGCGTTGATTTCCTTCAGAATGGATAGGTTTGTTCTCCTTGCAGTCCAGGGGACTCTCAAGAGCCTCCTCCAGCACCACAATTCAAAAGCATCAATTCTTCGGCGGTCAGCCTTCTTTAGGGTCCACCTCTCACTTCAATACATCGCTACTGGAAAAATCCAAGATTCCCGTGCTCTTTATTTCAATCCTTCATGCTTGCATTCCAGGTTTCTACACTGCCTTTTGGAGCATGGGTGTGTTTTATTTAAAGAGAAGTGTGTATGTGGGCTCACACAGAAATGCATTGCTCCAGTCTAGACAGCATTGACTGTGTAAAGCCATCTCACCGTTTCGGTTGTTCTCCTTCTTTATTTAGCTGTGGGAACCCTTCTCAAAGCTAAAATCCCATCTCTAGGAACACAATTCAACCTAGCCTGCCCCACCACACACAAACACACACACACACACACACACAGGAGGCTCACAGTTCTTACCGATGCCGTGGAGTATCCTGGCCACGTGCCTGCCGGTGAACTTCCTGTTGCCTTGGTGGATGGACCGGAAATGGCAGATGCGGGCCCCGATCGGCTCTTCCCAATTCTGCAAAAAATCGTTCAAGCAGACCACACACACTTCTGAAAACCACTCAGACAAGTCCAATGGATTCTATGACTAAAAGCCTGCACATGAAACAACCACCAACCCAAAGATCTTTAGTCCTGAAAATCACTCTCTCAGAAATGCAGAACCAGGATCGGGAGGTGCTGTCCAGCATCAATGCAGAAGAAGAAGAAGAAGAGAAAATGGCCCGGGGAAAATGGGATTTCTGCTGCCTTTTGGCAAAAGCAACCGCCTTCATTGAGCAAGGGGCTCGACTGGATGGCCTCAGAGACCCCTTCCAACCCCATTATTCTATGATAAAAAACCGTTCGCATTTAAAGTGCTTGGAGAATCTTCCTTATTTTTTGCTGTAACAGCTTTCCCTTCCTCTATAAGGTGTATTTGCGCATTTGCCTGTGTCGCCACCCATTTAATAGTCCGAAGTGGCACAGTGAATTCATCATCCTCATCCCAAGCTCACTTTCAGTCTGAGGTGGTGCACTCCCCAACGATCTTTGAGATCACCAGGTAGGCTTTTAAGAATTGAAGGATCTTGGAAGGAGCTTTTTAATGGGGCTCGGCTGCTCGTTGGACTTTTTTTCCCCCTCGCGGGCTTTGAAACGGCTTGAAACCCCGCGGTTGTTGGGGTCGAATTCGGCTTTTAATGCTGTAACTTCAAACTTTCAGTCTGAGGTGGTGCACTCCCCAACGATCTTTGAGATCACCAGGTAGGCTTTTAAGAATTGAAGGATCTTGGAAGGAGCTTTTTAATGGGGCTCGGCTGCTCGTTGGACTTTTTTTCCCCCTCGCGGGCTTTGAAACGGCTTGAAACCCCGCGGTTGTTGGGGTCGAATTCGGCTTTTAATGCTGTAACTTCAAACCAAACG